CACAATTGCCTGATACTGTCATCCATATCATCCTCTCTCTCCTTCGTAGTACAAAAGATGCTGCTCGAACCAGTATCTTGTCTAAGAGGTGGAGGGACATGTGGACCTCTTTCTCTGTTTTGACATTCGACCAACGGACTTTTCAAGAACTAGAGGGAGTTCGAAGTATGGAGAACTGCAATGAGGTGTTTAAGCAGTTTATTGATAAGTCTCTCCAGAGCCACCTGGATCGTAAGTTAGGTATATATAAATTTGTTCTACATGTGACCTCCTATGATCCAGCATTGGTTCATCATATGGAACGGTGGTTTGGAATTGCAACTGAAAATAACGCAAAAGAGCTAGGTTTCCATGTTCATGTGAATGGAACTAGGCGGTACATTTTGCCCAAGAATGTCTTTGCTGCAGATGGAATAACTGGATTAAGGCTGCAAGGCTGTAAACTTGAAACTTGCAGTATTATAAAGCTTCCTCATCTGCAAAAGCTATACCTGCGAAATCTTCGTGTTGATCAACAGATAATTATGAATCTCATTTCCAGCTGCCCTCTAATTGATGATTTGAGACTCATACAATGCTCGGGGTTAAGTTGTTTGGACATTTCAAGTCTTCTTAAACTTGATAGGGTTGAGGTACACTGCTGCAATGTACTCAAGAAGATAGATATTACAGCTCCTAGTCTTCAAGCATTTTGGTATTGCGGGAAGAAACAAGTGTCCTGCAAAATTAACTTGAAAGATTGCGAGTCTCTGAAAAGGCTGACACTAGAAGACAGTAGAATGACAAACAACCAGTTTCATGGTCGATTCTTCAGTTTTCCTCTCCTAGAGAAACTGGAGCTAAGTAACTGCCTCAAGTTGACGAATATAAGAATTGGAAGTCATCGGCTGAACAGACTAGTCTTAAGAGGTTGCAAGAATCTAGAGGAAGCTGAAATCGATACTCCAAATCTTCTTTCATTTGAGTATCAAGGTGATAAATTCCCCTTTTCTTTTCTGAATCCTAAGTGTTTGAAGGAGGTCAAGCTTTCATTTGCACCAATGGAAGATAGGAAGCTCAAACTTAACCTCAAATCTGAGCCTCTTTGGTTTCCTAAGTTGCGAGAATTTCTTGGGAAGTTCGACCATAAAGGCTTGAAACTGGTTGTGCGCTCCAGTAAGGTAACAGTCTCCTTTTATTATTAACATTTCTATCTCATTTTCCACATCTCATACCTTTTTTTTTTTTGCTTACTTTGGCTAATTCAGAATGTCATCATCCATGAAGATTTTGGAGAAATTTTGCTTTCTACATGCGGTGGTCTCAAAATTGAAATGGTCCAATCTTCAGTGGGTGCTGAAGAACTATTAGATATTTCATTGCATAAAGGACATCCACAGACCCTATCTATAATGTCATCTTCCAGCAGTGAATTCCCAAAGGTATGGTAGTTTCCTTGCATGCTTTTGCTTATTTCACCAATTACATGATATGTAATCTGTATAATGTGGATGCCATTTTGTATTATGGACTCCTTGATTTAAAGCCACCATGTTGAGTGAGATTGTGCCATCAGATAATAAAGTGACATTTTGCTTTCGGGCTGTGGTTTTTACTTGAACTGCAGTTGGTACATGAGAAGATTATCAATAGAAAGGAGGATCCAACCTGCTGCACAAGTAATAATCCCAACAACAAGTGTTGGCGACACTTCTTGAAGGATGCCAAGATGGTGAACTTGAAAGCAGCTAAAGGCAAAAATGACTCTGAATCGATGGCTTGGTTGAAGTCACGTCCAAATGCTAACGAGATTGCTTGTTTTAGATTGGATTGGAAATCTGACAAAGATGGTAGGAAGGCGTCCCGCTAAGATCTACATTTAACTTTTATTTCAGTTTTTCATTAAATTTTATATGACCATGATTGAATTCATTTTTGGATCCTATTTGAATATTACTTTTTGATATTATGTTTGGAGATTAGTTATGTTGTTTGTGGTCATTCTTTATGATCTCCATGATAAATACAGGTGATGGAGATTTCCGAACGGAAAAGTAAGCTCGCAGCTTATAGTTGTGTTATTGTGGATTTTTTTTTACTAGTTCCTTGTACAATTGGGGTACGCAATAGCTTTGTGGGGAGGCTTAACCCTCTCAAACAAGCACGTTATTTGGGTAAATCCTGGGTTACATGTAACACCAGCTAATATTATAAGAATTCTACTATTGCTACAAGACATGCGATGCGACCTCTGTTTGGGTTTTAAAAATTATCATTGTATTTATTAGAAGTAAGAATTACAAACCAAAAGGGTTTTCAAAATGCAATATCGATTTTTTACAATTTTTTTGTTTGCTTTCGGTTTCTGCAAGCGTAAGTTTTTCAGTTGTTCAGAAAGAAAAGCTGGTGGGAGATTTTGACCGTCTTTGTACAGAACTTGCTGGTAGTGGAGTGGAGGAATTTTCCTGCAAAACAAGTAATTGAAAACAGAGAATCAGTTTGGACAGTTAATATTGGTAATTGGAGTTGGTGAGCTATGTACCCTATTCTTCCTAAGCCCTCACACAAGGCCATCAACTCCACAAAATTATTTGCTGTGTGAGGGGATCATCTGTTGTATGTCTTTGGCAACGAATCACTTGGCCTGCTTGCCCACAATCACAAAAGCTGGAAAGCACCTAAACGAAGGCAAAGCTTTCACACGTACACAATGCAATCGCATTCACAAATCTCTACCAATCATCACATGAGGGTCAGCCACTACTTGCTCTTATAGCATGTTTACTAATCAGTAATCGGATGAGGAGGAATTGAATTGAGAAGGAGTTGGATTGAGGAGGAGTCATAATCCGGATTCCGTTAAAGTCATTATTACTAAACTATCTAGAATCAAGGTAGGAATGATACTGATTCCCTATAAGTTGTTTACTAAATTCTCATCAATCGGAATTGAAACCAATTTGATTACTAAAATTTCATTGTTTTAAATAAATTATTTTTTAGACTTTTTATCACAAATGATCCTTCATGTTTACAAAATTATCACGAATCGTCCTTCAGGTTTTTTTGTGACACTAATAGTCTTTCAGGTTATCATCCAGCCATCAAAATAGTCATTCTGTTAGTTTTTGTTAAAACTAAAGTTAAACTCATGTGCACATCCTGCTTTTTGAAATATAATATCATCATTCCACTCAACCTTCGACCAAACCGAACTGTCAGAACCCTTTCCCTCCATTTCCTCATGGTCCTTCCATTTTGGCGCCCCTATAGGATATAACCAACCAAAAAAAGTAAACATCTGAAGAAATTGAAACAATCCAAGCTCAAGAGAAAGACCAACAATGGAGAACTCCAGAGAAAGACCAAACTCATGGATCAATTTGAAAAATAGAAGTCCTGCAAATTCATTATCCATGGCACATCAAATACAGAGTCCTCAAAAAACCATTTAACCATATCAGTACTCAAAAAACCAGTGCACCACATCGAAGACATCAATCTTGAGCAAGTCCTAACACAATATATCAAAATGAACTTCCCAAATCCTAACACAATACATGAACTTCCCATACAATACATCAAAATGAACTTCCAAGTCCTAACTCAAACTCTCCATGGTCTTCCTCTTTTTGCTGGAGACTTAAGTCTTCTTTGCTGGGTTTGTGGTGTTGTGCCTTGGTTTGATGAAGAAGGTTGTGAAAGAGGAGGCTGTGAACCCACTCTTGGTACCGATGTATGAGATTGTGCAGTTGTTGTCCTGTTATGGCCTCCTCTTGCCACCTAAACATATTAATATACTAGAAAAATGCCAAAGAAAATGATATTATATTTTGACCATAGAAAAAATGACATATGAAAGTGAAAGAACCTTTAACTTTTGTTTCCTTTGCCTAACCGCCTTATCTTTGGGTTCCTTTCGGCCAATTTGAGAATCTCAGCATTATTATGAATTATATACAAAGTCCCACCTGTTTATAACTTTTTATATTGAAATGAAATGTGCAAAGGAATTTTATACCTGTTTGGTAGCTGTATTTGTGCTAGAGGTCCCACTGGAACCCCAAATAGAGAGGAAGGCCCGATGAGGAAATGGAGGGAAAAGGTTATATACTGCAGTTTAGAGCGCCAAAATGGAGGGCAGATGAAGAAATGGAGGGAAAGGGTTCTATCAGTTGGGTTTGGTCAAAATGGTAGAGTGGAATGATGAGATTATATTTCAAAAAGCAGGATGCACGTGAGTTTAACTTCAGTTTTAACAGAAACTAACAAAAGGACCATTTTGATGGGTGAATGATAACCTAAAAGACTATTAGTGTCACAAAAAAACCTGAAGGACGATTCGTGATAATTTTGTAAACATGAAGGACCATTTGTGATATAAAAAAGAGCCTATTTTTTATGTAAATTTTTGTTGGGTTAAAATGGATGGAAATTTTGGAATTTTAAAAATTATGTGAGGATATAATGAGTTAAAAAATTGAACTTCTGATGAGCTCTAGGAATTAGAATACCACCTCCCATCTAGTAGTTCAATTCCTCCAAAATAAGAAGTTGAATTCTTGATTTTGTGTGGGTCTCTCTTGCATTTTCATTCCTTTGTGTAAGTAAACACAAGAGTAATTTGTAATCGAAATCTAATTACTTATTTTGATTCTCATTACATATTAGCAAACATGTTAGTTTAATGGTATTGTTCTTAAGAAACTCCAAGTTCGAATTTGCTAACTCATTTATCTAATTGAGATGTTTTTCTGGATTGTCATCTCATTCTTTTTTTTTTTAAGAATCAAGAACTTGATATTGTAATGCATATATGCTTTTCTAGAATTAGGGGCTAGCTAGTGATGACCACAACCTTGCTCGAATGCGTAAAGAAAAAGCAGATATTTCTGCATACATAATGCTAAAATAGAATCAGATACTACTATCCATCAGGTCCCTGTTTGCACTATGCGTTTTGTTCATCTCTCCCCTTAAATTTGCTTTTTCTTCATTATATACCTCTATGTTATCTCATCTCTCTCTCCACTACCAACCATAGTCATTCTAGCTTTTTCCTTGCTCTGCTCCTCTGTGTTAAGCATTTTGTTCAAACCTTCCCTGAGCCCTATGGTAAGCATATTGTTCTTAACCACTCTGTTTGTTGTTTCCTTGGTACTTTATCATTAATTTTACCCTTCATTTCTTTGCTAGATTGTAAGTATGTTACTGTTGTTTTCAACATAAACTAGTACTCTGAGTGAGAAAAATTGTATCTAAACATTTGAACAAGGTTTCCTTTAAATTTTTATGTAGGATGGCAAGGAGCGTGCAAGTGGGAAGAAGAAGACCATTGTAGTAGGACCATGGGGAGGAAATGGTGGAGCTGACTGGGACGATGGGGTCTACAATGGGGTGAGAGAGATCACGCTTGTTTACGGTCATTGCATCGACTCCATTACTGTGGTGTATGATAGAAACGGTAAGCCTGTCAAAGCAGAAACGCATGGTGGTCGCGGAGGCAATCAAACTGCTGAGGTACGTTTCGATCCTTGTACTCTTTTCTTTTAATCGACAACTTTCGTCCATAGGATTTGAACTCCGGACATCCTCTAACAAAGTGGAGACTGATGCCAATAGAGCAAATGGACATAGGCTTCAAAACTCGTACTTCAAATTGGATTAAGATTGATAGAAAGTGTATCAAATTTGATGATAATTTATTTCATAGAGGCGAGATATCGATATAAATTTTTTTTGATCTTGGCCTGACTTTTTTCGTGCAGATAAAGCTTCAGTACCCAGATGAGTTCCTAGTCAGTGTAAGTGGACACTATTGTCCGATGGTGTACGGTGGCGGCCCGATAATCCGGTCACTCAAATTTCAGAGCAATAGAAGAACATTTGGACCATATGGAATTGAAGAAGGCACACCCTTTACTTTCACAGTGGATGGAGGCAAAATTGTTGGATTAAAGGGAAGAAATGGATGGTACCTAGATGCCATTGGGTTTCATGTATCCCCTCCCCCAACCAAAAAACTGTTTCAGAGTATTCAGAAGAGTTTTAGAAGGCTTGGGAGCTCGGTTTCAAAACCTTAGACTGCTTAAAGTTGAAAGCATGACTTAGAGCTCATGCCTGCCGCCACACGAGTTCTTAAAATCACCAAAAGCTCAAAAATATTGCACATATAATAAGCTACTCTTTCTGCTTGTGATTATTTCTTTCCTTTGAAGTACACTAAAGCCATCCAAATAATGTTTAGTGTTTTCTGTACCATCAATGGAGTATTAAGTTTCACTAGTGGGTAGCGAAACATGCGTCAATTGTTCCAGCAATCTAAAAGGATTAAAGAAAATAGTTTAAAGACAAAACAACTTCTCTTCACTCCCCCTCACTCCTTGAAGAGAATGGGTCATCAGAGTAAAGAGATATGCAGTATCTTCATGGGAATACGTCAAGGTGATGGTGATACGTCAATAAACATATCATTTTCACTCCCCTCCCCCCCCCCCCCCCCCCCCCCGGGGGGGGGGGGGGGGGGGAGAGCACTTAAATTTCAAGAACGCAAGCACATGTCACAAGAGAACTTGACTCTGATACCATGTTAAGATTTCAGAAAGACGGATCCTTGGCCCATCACTAGCAACATCAATATTGGTATCAGAGCCAGGTTGTATAAAACCTCATACCTGCTAAACAGGTGGTTAAGTTGGGGACAATATTGAGGTTGCTAGTGATGGACCAAGAGTCTGTCCCTCTGAAATCTTGACACTCCTAGCAAATGATTTAATATGAAGTAATTATCATGGACACAGTGTCCCCTCTTAACAGCACACCATACACCAGTTTCATGCATGTACACAAAATAACAAAGGTGCATCAATAAAAGAAATTCCAAGGCATCACCAGCCAAAGACAACAGGCGCAAAGGTTCTCTGACCACACTGTATAGTTTTCATACCAGATTTTTGTAACCCATATTCACTTACCCTAAACCCACACATTGTCTTAACACTTTTTGTCTACCGATACATTGCCTTGACACAGAACAGCACATGTTGCACCAGTTTTATGCATGCCATACAATGAGAAAATAATTGCAAGGCATCAACATGAATATAAAACAGGTAGAAAGTTCTCTGGTCAGATTCTTACAAGCCACCCTCAAGCAATTAAAAGGCCATGACTATATGCAAAAGCCCTAAGCACAAAACAGAGTAACAAGTCATCAAATCATGTCTTTACTAAAAAATCTAAGGTGTACATTCAAGGATAAACGCCAATTCAGTCAATTAACATCAATATACTTCGCAGTGTACTCTAAAAGAACTGAAGACATTGGTACCAATGTATAACAATCAAATCTCAAGCAGCAAAAGGAAGTAACATCAAATACTCGCCATCCATAGAGTACTATCGTATAACCCATATCCCAATCGGCCAATCCACTCAACTTAGACAAAGTACAAACTTCAACCCAATAAAACACACACACACACAGACAAATTCCCATTACGGATTAGTAAACATGTTAATTTAATGGTATTGTTCTTTCCAATGTCAGAAATTCGAATTTGCTAGCTCATTCAACTAACAAAATGAAAGATCAACCAAGTGGCAATTTCTAATTGAGATGTTATTCTGGGTTGTCATCTCATTCTTTTTTTTCTTTTCAAGAATCAAGAACTTGATATTGTAATGCATAAATGCTTTTCTAGAATAGCGGCTAGATAGTGAGGACCACAACCTTCCTCAATACATAATGCTAAAATAGAATCAGATACACCTACCCATCAGGTCTCTGTTTGCACTATGCGTTTTGTTCATCTCTCCCCTAAAATTTGCTTTTTCTTCATTATATAAGCCTATGTTATCTCATCTCTCTCTCTCTCTCTCTCCACTTCCAACCATACTCATTATAGCTTTTTCCTTGCTTTGCTCTTCTCTGCGTTTAGCATTTTGTTCAAACCTTACCTGAGCCTATATGCATCTTGTTCTTAATCACTCTGTTTGTTGTTTCCTTGGCACTTGATCATTAATTTTACCCTCTATTTATTTACTAGATTGTATGTATGTTACTGCGGTTTTCAACGTAAACTAGTGCTCTGAGTAAGAGAAATTGTATCTAAACATTTGAACAAGGAAAGTTCGTTTAACTTTTTATGTAGGATGGCAAGGAGCGTGCAAGTGGGAAGAAGATGACCATTGTAATAGGACCATGGGGGGAAATGGTGGAGCTGATTGGGACGATGGGATCTACAATGGGGTGAGAGAGATCAAGATTGCTTACTGTCTTTGCATCGACTCCATTACTGTGGTATACGATAGAAACGGTAAGCGTGTCAAAGCAGAAACGCATGGTAACCGCGGAGACCATGAAACTGCTGAGGTACACTTCGATCCTTGTACTCTTTCTTTTAGTTGACAACTTTCGTCAATGAGATTTGAACTCCGGACATCCTCTAACAAAGTGGAGACTGGTGCTAATAGAGCAAATGGTCATAGGCTTCAAAGCTCGTACTTCAAAATTGGATTAAGATTGATAGAAAGTGTATCAAATTTGATGATAATTTATTTCATAGAGGCGAGATATCGACAAAAAAAGATTTTGATTTTGGCCTGACTTTTTTCGTGCAGATAAAGCTTCAGTACCCAGATGAGTACTTAGTCGGTGCAAGTGGACACTATTGTCCGATGATGTTTGGCATCGGCCCGCGGTTAATCCGGTCACTCAAATTTCAGAGCAATAGAAGAACATTTGGACCATATGGAATTGAAGAAGGCACACCCTTTACTTTTACAGTGGATGGAGGCCAAATTGTTGGATTAAAGGGAAGGGATGGATGGTACCTAAATGCCATTGGGTTTCATGTATCCCCTCCCCCAACCGAAAAATTCTCTCAGAGCATTCAGAAGACCATTGTAATAGAACCATGGGGAGGAAATGGTGGAGCTGATTGGGACGATGGGATCTACCATGGGGTGAGAGAGATCAAGATTGCTTACTGTCTTTGCATCGACTCCATTACTGTGGTGTATGATAGAAACCGTAAGCCTGTCAAAGCAGAAACACATGGTGGTCGCGGAGGCAATCAAACAGATGAGGCACGCATCGATCCTTGTACTCTTTCTTGTAATCGACAACTTTCGCCGATGAGATTTGAACTCCGGACATTCTCTAACAAAGTGGAGACTGATGCTAATAGAGCAAATGGTCATAGGCTTCAAAACTCGTACTTCAAAATTGGATTAAGATTGATAGAAAGTGTATCAAATGTTATGATAATTTATTTCATAGAGGCGAGATATCGACAAAAAAATATTTTGATTTTGGCCTGACTTTTTTCATGCAGATAAAGCTTCAGTACCCAGATGAGTTCCTAGTCGGTGTAAGTGGACACTACTGTCCGATGATGTTTGGCATCGGCCCGCGGTTAATCCGGTCACTCAAATTTCAGAGCAATAGAAGAACATTTGGACCGTATGGAATTGAAGAAGGCACACCCTTTACTTTCACAGTGGATGGAGGCAAAATTGTTGGATTAAAGGGAAGAAGTGGATGGTACCTAGATGCCATTGGGTTTCATGTATCCCCTCCCCCAACCAAAAAATTGTTTCAGAGTATTCAGAAGAGTTTTAGAAGGCTTGGTTGCTCGGTTTCAAAACCTTAGACTGCTCAAAGTTGAAAGCATATGACTTAGAGCTCATGCCTGCCGCCATACAAGTTCTTAAAATCACCCAAAGCTCAAAAATATTGCACGTATAATAAGCTACCCCTTCTGCTTGTGATTATTTCTTTCTTTTGAAGGACACTAAAGCCATCCAAATAATGTTTAGTGTTTTCTGTACCATCAATGAAATATCATGTTTCACTAGCGGGTAGCGAAACATGCTTCGATTGTTCTTATTAATTGCATTGGGTCGATAATCAGACTAAAATAATTGAACAGCAATCTAAAAGGATTCAAGGAAAGGAGCCAAACATTTTTCTTTCTAGCAATAATACAATTTACAAAAGATAAACACAAGCAAGCACTGTATCTTTTTATTTCACTTTATATGCATTCTGCAAGTCTGAATGCATATAAAATTCTGTCAGAGAAACTATTTCCAGACCAGAAATATGCTATATAGCTAATCTAAGAATCACATTGACATCAACTATATAACCCCAGGTTTGAGGGAACTTTACTAGCTCTCATTTGCATATCAGAAATGTGACCATGACATGGAACATGTGAAGCAGAAAAACCATAAAACTGAATTGCAGTCAAGTACACAAGATGAGAGGATTCAGATCATAAAACTAACTACTTTTCATTTCAAGCTATTGTGAGAAAACAACGACCGGACAATGAACCAGCATATAGCCATAAGAAACAATTCATTATAAGAGCATGTTGGCATCCTTATGAAAAGTCCCAGAAGAATTCTCACAATTTTGATAACATCACCCATGCTGCTGTTATCATGGACACGGTGTCTCCACTTAACAGCACACCATACACCAGTTTCATGCATGTACACAAAATAACAAAGGTGCATCAATAAAAGAAATTCCAAGGCGTCACCAGCCAAAGACAACAGGCACAAAGGTTCTTTGACCACACTGTATAGTTTCATACCAGATTTTTGTAACCCATTATCGCTTACCCTAAACCGACACATTGTCTTAACACTTTTTTTCTACCGGTACATTGCCTTGACACATGACAGCACATGTTGCACCAGTTTTATGCACGCAATAGAATGAGAAAATAATTGCAAGGCATCAATATGAATATAAAACAGGTAGAAAGTTCTCTGGTCAGATTCTTACAAGCCACCCTCAAGCAATTAAAAGGTCATGATCATATGCAAAAGCCCTAATCACAAAACAGAGTAACAAGTCATCAAATCATGTCTTTACTAAAAATTCTAAGGTTTACATTAAAGGATAAAAGCCAATTGAGTCAATTAACATCAATATACTTCGCAGTGTACCCTAAAAGAACTGAAGACATTGGTACCAATGTGTAACAATCAAATCTCAAGCAGCAAAAGGAAGTAACATCAAATACTCGCCATCCATAGGGTATCGTATAACCCGTATCCCAATCGGCCAATCCACTCAACTTAGACAAATTACAAACTTTTACCCAATAAAACACACGCACACAGAGACAAATTCACATATCTATTGCACGTACATAACAAAACAGATGCAAACAGTCTGACTAGAATGTAACAAAACCCACATAACAACATATCGCAGCGAATTCAAATTCGTCAAATATACACAAATATCAAGTTTCAAATTGTTCCACCAAGAGTCATAACTCTTAATTAGCAATCGGTACAAACACATAAGCATATCATATATATATATATAGATATATTGAATTCAAAACCCAAGCTGATCGCCTTCCCTATTTTAACCTCTAGCCTTGAGCTCCGCAAGCCTCCTGGAGAGGTCGTCCTCGTCGACCTTCTCGGTTTCCTTGGCCGGCACGGCATGGGCAGCTGGCTGAGGTAGGCCCACAGAAACCTCAAGCCCATAGTCATCAGCGACCTGTTGCATCAAGCTATTGACCTCACCCTCGGGAGTCGAAAGCGAGGTGGAGCCAGCCATGGCGGTCTCCATGAACTCGGCCTGGACCTCCATGTTCACGAACTGCTTCTCGAACGAGTCCATGGTCTCCGACATCTTCTGGAGGTTTCCGGTGGCCAGCGACGATTCGAGTGATTTGACGATATTTCCCATGGACTTATTGATGGTGAACATCTTGGCCTGGGTGTCGAGCCGAGCCACCACAGCGTCAAGCCGGGAAGCGAGCCGGAGATAGTTCATTTGCTCTGTGCGCTTTCGGATCGCGTTCTCGGCGTAGATCCGAGCGCCGTCGACGTTGCCTTTTTCCATGGCCTTCTTGATCTTCAGCTTCTCGGCTTTCTCCTCCTTCTCGCACTTTCTGGATTGGCGCTGAAGCGACTTGGACGTGAATTTCAGCTCCATGATCTGGTTCATCAGCTTCTCGGTGTTGCCCATGGTGGATTTTGGGGATTTGATTTTCTAGGGTTTTGGTTTTTTATCGGAGAAAGTTTTCCGTATTTGTGTGTTTTGGACCTGTGATTTAAGCGTTCCGCGTCTGTCACAGAGGGAAGTCAACAAGGCGAAGTTTCCTACTTTTCCTTTGTTGGGCCGCTTTTTTGTGAAGTATCGGATATGTGACTTGGGCTTTACTACTTGCTGATAAAAACCTAATATGTTTTGTTTTTATTTGTTGAGTATAAATGATAGTCTAAACTACATAGGAAAAGGATTTCTCATACGCACACAATTATGATGTTATGAGGATTCGAACTTGAGATTTCTAGTCTGCAAGTCAATGCCATTTTTCACTGGGTTAGACCTCATTGGCAAAAACCTTAAAAATTATAGGGAGCTTTAGTAGTTTACCCAAAATAGGAGTTAAAATTATATTTTAAAAAACCCCACATGAAATGCACTTTAGAAACATACTCAAAAATCATTTACTACATAAGACATGAGTGTTGAAGTTTTCATAAATTACATGACTATCATTAATTAACTTAAAACAAGCCCCCAACACAAAAAACTTTTTAAAAAAAAAACAAAACAAAACAAACCCAACAAGCCCGAAGTACATTGTTAATGTAACATGCCACATCGACCAACAGAGAGCAGAGACAATCGCAAAGGCATAAGAAAATACATTTACAAGAAGAAAAAAAGTACATTATTAATACTATATCACAGAACTATCTTCCTAGTAAAAATCACATTATGCATATCATAAACTTCAAGTGCACAACTATATATAGAGCATGCTTTGTTACTGAAAATCTGTTAATACTATGTCATAGAAGTACACTATTAATACTATGTCATAGAAGTCAACTCAGCTGCAGGGTATGATCAATATAACAGTGTTTTGCGCATAATGTAAATGATTACTTGGCATTGGTTGTATCAGTCCCAATTGATCAATAATGAAAATGATTACTTGAGCATCAATGTCAAGGTCCACCTCATCAGCAGTAGCCTAGAAACTTGGATTATTTTGTGCAACAATATCCAATGCATTGCTGAGATCCTCAGGTGACAATCTAGTAAGGGCTATCCAAAGTTTTCTCTTCTCTTTAGTTGACATTTTTCTGAAACAATGTTCTCAAGATAAGATATGGTTGCTGGATAAGCATTCATATGCAACTTTGTTCATGCACAAAAACACATAGAGTCGCTCTTTCTATCCACATGCACTCACACATGGCCATAGCATGCATACACACATCAATAATACAGATTTTACATATAAATTTTTATTTCATTGCATCAACATGTAGATGTAAAACGTATTAAACTAAGATACAATGTTATTGTACAACCTGCACTTCTGAACAACCATTTCTCGGAGTTCTTCCAAATGCATATCAACCTCATAAAGCTGAAAACAAGATATCATAACGGAGTCCATTATAAGTTTAGTCGTTGAAATAAACTATATCTGCAAAGGCTTTCATTCAATGTTAATTATATGCATATAAGAAGGTTTGAAGTCATAAACCAACAAAAAAATAGTTAAACAATATGCTTTAGTTTATCTCTATATACCAAACAAACAACATTACTGAACCTCAAACCATATTACACTATCTGTTCAAGAAAGAGCTTATCATGTTGGGATATACCTCTTCAGTAACTTTAGGAAGAAGCTAGAGCCACTTCTCCACAAATAACCTAAATCATTGAGAATCTAAATCCAAGAACAGTAATAAGATGAGTTCTTAGCTCCGTCTCTGTCCGAGATCGACGAATGTTATCTGTCACATCCTGGGATCGGCTCCGCCGTAACATGATATTATCCGCTTTGGTCCCCCCTCTCTGCCCTCACGGTTTTGTTTATGGAAGCTCCCGAGGATGTTACAATCCACCCCCCTTAGGGGCCTGACGTCTTCGTCGGCACACTCGCACCACACAGCAGAGTGGTTTTGATACCAAATTATCACATCCCGGGATCGTTTCCGCCGTAGCATGATATTGTCCGCTTTGGGTCCCCCATCTCTGCCCTCACGGTTTTGTTTATGTGAGCTCAAGAGCAACTTCCCAGTGGGTCACCCATCCTGGGATTGCTTTAGCCCCCAACTCGCTTAACTTCGGAGTTCCTATGACTTCAAAGCCAATGAGCTCTCAAAAGGCCTTGTGCTAGATGGAGACGGGCATGTACATATAAGGCACATCACCCCCTCTCCATTGGTCGATGTGGGATGTTACATTATCCAACGATCTCTACCTTCTTTGTCGTGCTCATTCTTCCAGAGGAGTTCTTAGCTCCATCTCCGTTCGAGGTTGCTGTGGTTGACGTCGCTCGAATTCAACGGTGCTGGAGAAGGAATTGGAGGTGTGTCGTCGGCCGACGGAGATTAAGACGGAGATGATTGCGGTGGCGCTGGAGGTGAAGAATGATGTGGTGCGTTAACTAGAATGTCCGACAGAGATAGAGGAAGGGAAATCATAGATGGAATTTTGGGCGAAGGTGAATCGGCAGTGGGTTGCAATGATGGAGTCGACGAGGGCTATGGTGGAGACGATGAAGATACAATGGAGAATTGGAATATGAGAAAAGCTAGAAGCAGAGCTCAATAAACCTCGCCATTGTTGAAGAAGAAGAAAGTTTGAGATGCTCGTTGATGAAGATTGAGTTGATTAATAGACAAAGAAAAAGGGCAAAACAGTAATCAAACATAGTTCTTGAATTTAAGAAATCAATAGCTGTTAATTTTTTAATTTATTTTGGGTGTGTTTATATACATCGAATGGTATAGGGTTTCTTTATCGAACTATGTTTAGGAATGGGTATTTAACTAATTTTCTAAAAATTATAATTATAAATATTTTTATCACAAAATGTCATTGAGTTTTGTGAAATTTGTATTTTCACCGTATTTGTGAAGTAAAAGCCGCATATGCGTGTAACATTAGCACACTTAGAATTTTTAACGAGATTAGACGATATAGACAACATTGATGTGTGCAGAAAAACGTGGATGGCAAATTGAATGCTAAGGAAAAAAAAAAAAACTGAACTTAATAATTTCGCAAGCTTGTGATGTTTTGTGATAAAAGCTCAAAAAAAACATATTAGATAAAAATTGATATACATAACCAAACTTTTATTTATGTTTTTACATTAAAAAAATGGTAGGGTAGTTTTTTACACCGCTAAACCCAAAAAGAAAACACTTATTTGCAACATCCCCTCCTTCATAAGGAAGAGGCAACAAAGGGAAGTTACCCAAAACTGGTTTCCCCTTTCTTCTTTAAATATTGCAAACAAGTACAAAGACATCTGCCCCTGGAAAAAGTAAGATAAACAATCGTTGAAGAGTTCTCGAGTCTTGACAGACACATCCCCTCACCTATAAGGTTAGTTTGCTTTTGCAAATTATAATTGTCCTTTTGAATTAGAATTGAATCAACTACTATTTCTTAATCAGACTAATTCTTCGGTTTGCATGCATTCGATTACATAGTTGATTTCGTAGGTGTTAGTAATCGCAAGAAAAATAAAAGAGTGATATCCATAGATAACATCAGTGTCGCTATCCCTTTCACCATAGATTTTAGTGTTTGTTCTTTCTGATTCTTGGTTTTGCTCCTCAAGGGGTTGGGAACAATGAGACTGACAAAAGAAGAAATCAATAGATGAACAATAATAGGCTATGAAGTTTGCGAGCATCATTTGCTACTGGACAAGATAATAATAATGACACAACATTCATATACCATGTCAAAACTCCATTAGTTTACCTTTTTATTTGGGTGACATTCAAAATTTCAAAATTTCAAACTCTTCCAAAGTATAGAAAAAAATTAATTTATTGGCCAAAAATATGAAGTCAAATTGGACAGACCCAAGGTAACATGGGAAATCGTACCGCTTCTCCTTTCCCTGCCTCTGCAAACCGCAAAACATAAGGAACCGCCAAATATCGGAGCCCACGTGTCTTCCTCCTTCCATACCATCCAATGTGTCTCTCCCTCGCAACGGCTCGCCCATAATAGCCGACTGCTCGGCCATCTGTTCTCTCTCTCATCTCTCTCTCTCTCTCTCTCGTCTGCTCTTATCTCCCAAGAACCCACATTTCCAATTACATTGGGACACATTTATCTGTATGTTTGATAAACACAGCTTTTCGTTTGATCTGCACAGAGAGCAACGTCGGTTCACAATTTGTAGACCCATTTAGCAATTTGAGCCATTTCAACAGAAAAATCTTGTCTTTGGTGTTTGCAAGCTTCTGTTGTTCCAAAATACAATTGCCCACTTCACTGTTTGAGCCAGTTTCTGTGAAAGTTTACCTCTTTGGTGGGTTTGGGCATCATTTGGATCTTAAAGACAGAGATCCCTTTGGCTGTTCTCAGGTGTTAAAGTTGTTTGGTGGGCAGGAAATGAATGTGCTTGAGGAGGAACAAACTGCTTTTGAGATTGGGGTTGTGGTTCCAAAGAGAGATGTGAAGGAAGAAGATAAAGCTTCTGACTGTGTGGAGGTGTTGGTAGATGAGTTTAGAAATTTGGGTTTGGTAGTTGAGAGAGTGCATGGCGTTGTTGATGAGTTTATCAAGGTTTGTCTTTCTACTTTTGCTCTTATTTGCCTGCCGTGATTTTTCGTTTGGTTTTTCTGTAATTGATTTATATTACCAAACATTGTTTCATGCAATGTGCTCATGAAAATAGATTCTGTGAATAATTTCTGATACGATCTCTCTCTGTATTTATAAATCTTGCTTACTAGGAAATTTTTTTAATTAATCCAAGTGAATCTTTGTATTTTGTACCGATGCATGTAGACAAAATTTATGAAATTGAGGTCTTTTTGCTAATGGCAAAAAAAAAAATGTTCCCTTTTGCTAAAATTTGTTGTTTCTATTTTTTATTCTAAATTGCAAATGAGCACTATACTTGGCAATTTATGATAACCCAGAATTATTCATGTCGTTTTTTGTTTATGCTGAATGAAAATGGTACATACAATTCGCCAATGTTTTGTCTATATGGTTTCTTGAATTTGGTTGCTGGACCTTAGATTTCCATCTTTCAGTTGGCAGCACCTTTGGAAACACTGGGGAGGGCTGCAGCTGAATTGCATATTAAAAAACGAACTCCTATTGGTAATGATCTTGCAGTTATATTCCAGTTGGCTTTCAAATTTTATTATTTTTCATTTGAGGTTGTTCTGTATTTTAGATGCTAGTATCTATTCATTTTCCACTTCGGTAATACTAAAAAACTAATATGCTGCACTTGGTTTCAGGGATGGATTTAGAATTTGAATGGGAGGAGGTTGATGCTTTTGAGAGACAGCCTGATGGTTCTTTGTTCAGTTGGTGTGAGCGTTTTCGCTGCTATAGGCACTTAATATATGGAATTGTAAGTCATTTATATTAGGATCTTATGATGTTCCAATGCCATTTTTTCTTTCTGATGTTTTGGTATACTACTTCTAATAACAGAATGCTTTTGAATTTTTTTTTTAATTGTAAATTTATATCGTATTAAGGTTATATGTCCATTCAATTTGATTTTACATTACAATTTCATGTTTATCTCCATCCCTTTTTTTGTCACTCTTTGGTAGAATACATCCCACCAGTTGACCTCTAGCGTTTTGTTTTTCTAAACTTTGTGACAGTTGATGTACAAACAACTGAAACTCTTGGAACATTTTCCCTTATAATTATATTTCTGTGTGCAAATATTCATCCATAAGTTTGTGCCGTCGACAATGATAGAACTGAAATTTTAACAGATTAACAAGAGTCAGTCAAGTGTAACATTAAGATTTGACGGCAAAGAATTCCAATGGGAAGTCGGGGAGTTTTTACTTCAGAAATTGGAGTCAGAGAGGATCGTCAAAGAAGTGTTTCCTTTGCATGGTATGTTTACAAATTCACAAAATGTGTGCATCTCTGTTAAACTCTAAATTAAGATGATTTTTTACTGATAGATGAAATAAAAAGGAAGGAGCTCCTTCAGACGTGGGCACTACACTGGTGGGACTTCACAAACCAGCCAATAGATGAGATTTATTCCTATTTTGGAACAAAAGTGAGTTAGGAGCAATAGAAAATTATATTTCTCTCTATTTCCTAACATTAAGCAAGAATTTAATGTCTTTGTAGATTGCCATCTATTTTGCTTTCCTTGGAATGTACACTCGGTGGCTGCTCTTTCCAGCTGCATTTGGGCTTATTTTGCACATGTTTGATTTTGGGTGGGTCATCTTCCTTATTTCTTAATTTCCTTGTTGGCTGTCAACTTATTTTATTAGTGCTGACGTATGTTTGCTTAATGTTTTCCGTAGGTCATTGCAGTTACTGGTGCTCCCCATTTTCTTCATAAGCATAATATTGTGGGCTATAATGTTTTCCCAGTTCTGGAAACGTAAAAACAATGCCCTTTTAGCCAGGTATCTTGGTATACAATGAAATTGTCTTGTGGTTATCAGATCAATGCTTATTCATTTTTGGTTATATTTTTACTTTTTCTAACATACTTTGCCTCTTTCTCTTTCTTGGTTGTGTGTTTAGATGGAAGATTCGTTACCCAATTAGAGCTGACCTGGGATATAGGCAGGGCATGGAGTGGAGTTCCTCACAGTCTCTTGAAATCGCAAAAAAATGGGGGACTGACAAAGCTAAAGAGAAAGAAATGTTCCAAAGAATTGAGTGGTTTGGACGACTCATGAGATTCCGAAATGATGCTATCATTATCTTCAGTATTATATGCCTCCAGTTACCGTTTGAACTAGCGTATGCTCATATTTACGAGGTTATTGGGTCTGATATTATGAAGTAAGACACCGAGTCCTCTTGCATTCATGTGAATGTATACACTTGCACGTTCATATAATTCTATTTTCATCAATGAAAAATCATTTTTAACATTCCAGAGTTTGTGCTCATATTTTTCTTTTTTATGCATGATAACTCGGTGCATCAGTTGTGCATGAGTGCTATTGACAGTTGGATGAGAACTATTGCTGAGATTGACTCTGTTCAGGTTGCATACTAGACATAAGATGGAGGAAAATTTTGGGTTTATTGGTTTTGACATAATGGGTTTGTAGAGTTTGTATCTGCCGCTGCACTTGTCCTCATGCTTAGAAACTTTGGACAAGGAGAGGGAAAGTCGAATTAGAAATGTTAAGTCAAACAGAAACCCAATTTAAGGGCACAACCAATTCTGATCTGTAGCGTTCGTTTAGACACAGCATTCATTCTTTTTCCTATGGTATTAATTCTTTGGAATTATAGTGTGAGAATGACACTTATCCTTTCTCTTTTTTTCAGGTTTGGGTTGACTACCATTTATCTTTTTGCCATTCAGTTCCTTACACAGATTGGGGGCAAGATCTCCGTCAAGCTCATTAAGTATGAAAATAATGAAAACACAGAAAAAAAAGCTGACAGCTTGGTCTACAAGGTGTGTTAAGTGGAGATCGATCCCTAGTGTCTTCTTTGCTGTTTCTTGGAGGAGTTTTCTACACTTCAAAGTTGAAGGAGTGATTTCATGTTTTAATTTATTTTGCAGGTGTTTGGTCTTTATTTCATGCAGTCATATATAGGAGTTTTCTACCATGCCCTTTTGCACCGCAACTTTTCAACACTCCGCAAAGTCTTGATTCAACGCCTCCTTGTGTCTCAGGTAAAATGAGTTCTATTTTATTCACTGTTTTGCTTGTTTATACCTCTCTTCTCAGGCTTATGAATTGGTCTATGCTTTCCAGGTGTTGGAAAACTTGTTGGAAAATACTTTGCCATATCTCAAGTACAGTTACAAGAAATATAGAGTTCGGTAAGCCTATACTATGTTTTTATCTTCTGGACCCTTATGTTTTGGGGTGATTTAAAGTTTATCTGAACATGACCTTATCTGCCATTCTGAATTCAAGAAGCAAGAAAAAAAGTGAAAAAGGTTCATCAACTGGGAAGATCCAGTTTGCTTCTAGGGTAGAAAAAGAGTACCTGAAGCCTTCTTATTCCGCAAGCATTGGCATGGAACTTGAAGATGGGTTGTTTGATGGTAATATGTCAATTATATCTGGCGTTTTTAAAATTTGCATTTTCCTCCTTAGTTTCAAGTAATCATGAGAATTCTTGTATGTTTCTTTATTCTCTGCTGATTAGCACTGTGATTTGACCTGCAGACTTTCTGGAGGTTGCATTGCAGTTTGGAATGATAATGATGTTTGCTTGCGCATTCCCCCTTGCTTTTGCTTTTGCAGCTTTGGTAAATTATGCTTTATGGTTGTTTATTTTTTGGAGTTCTTTATGCTTTGTAGTATTTTGTATTCTAATGTTTGAGTTGTACTTTTCACAGAACAACATCACCGAAATTAGGGCGGATGCATTGAAGCTTCTTGCCATGTTGAGAAGACCAACTCCTCGTTTTTCCACAACAATTGGAGCTTGGCTGAACATATTTCAGGTACTTATGGTTTATGGTTATGTATTGTGAAGAAAATATAGAATTCATATAGCTCAACCTTGAATTCTGGAAAGTTCAGAATGGATTGATTAGGTAAAGAGACAAATTTGTTGGGAGCTGTATTAGATTTGCTTTCTTCTCTGCAGTAAATATAAAACAAGGGAGAGAATTGGAGGGTTGACTATGTGTTCCATTTACTCTCTTATCGTCATCTTTCTAATGTCAGGTTGTCTGCAATTTGTAGTTTCTCGTCGTTATGTCTATATGCACCAACTGTGCGCTTCTAGTATGGTTATATGATGAAGAGGGCAAATGGAAGATAGAGCCTGGCCTGGCTGCAATTCTGGTTATGGAACATGTCCTCTTGTTGATTAAGTTTGGATTCTCCCGCTTTGTTCCCGAGGTGATTTAAATCCCATCCTTGTGAACGCTTACTCCAAATTTACATCATCTCTTGTTATTATAACATCTAATGGTTAAAAGGAAGATGCTGATCATTATATTATCATAAAACTTTCTTGCAGGAACCGGCTTGGGTGAAGGCTGACCGTGTGAAAGATGCAACAACGGCTGAGAACATGTGCTCTAAACAGCTTTTGAGGAGCATTTCTGGTGAGAGGGCAACATTTGGTGAACTTAAAAAGTCACAATAAGGTCAGGGAGTTGAGGTTTTATCATTGCTGTCTTCTTATTAGTTAGAAACTAAGCCACAAATAGGCTTTCTAGAGTTGAGCTGCAGTAGCACAAAAATTTTGGTTTCGTTTTTGTTTGTTCTTTTGGTGGGTTGTAATGGTTTTGTAAGTAGATGTATAGTACTGGCTATAATTTCTTTTTCCTTGGATGGTTTAAATTCCAATTTCAACTAAATATAACAGAAATGTGCAAAAAAATTGTTTTTGCTTTTTGTGAGTATTAACAAAGGGCGCATTTACATGCAAGGACCAATCAATCTATCATTTCTTGATCTCCTATGTACGTTTATCAGCATGGAAAATTGAGTTGCAATTCAAGTAACTCCATCATTTTGATCTTCACTATGTTCAAAGCACAACTACTTCCATTAGGCACTTACAGTTAGGCGTGTGATCGGTCAGCCACGAGTGCCTCCGAAGCGGCCGCTGACTTGGCGGGCGTAAGCAACAACAGCCTTAGCCCACCTCCTGATCCCAGACTTCAACTTCTCCGAATCCATGTCCTTGAGTGATTTTCCTTGTTCTGTTGAAATTTCCATGAAAGAAAAACATCGATCAAACCGCCCGCGCTTTGCTGTAACTACATCACCGCCGTTCCCACCATTGTTTAGAGAATAACTCTTCTTAGTCTTCTTCGTAGATGCACCACCCTTCCCAGCTCCGCCATCGTTGAGAGAGAGACTCTTCTTGACAGACATGGTTTCTGGGTTTGGTTGGCTGAGAAATGAATGGTTGAAAAGTGATGCAATAGTTGCTAGAAAATCAGCAACCTGGTCTAATTTATAGGAGATAGAGAATTGTATTAAGGCAAGTAATTAACATTCGTGTGTCTAGAATCTAATGCGTGTGAATTCCATTGACTAAGACTCTTTCAAAATATTCCATTGATAGCGTCCACCAAAGTTAAATCTTTTGTGGCTTTAACATATAAATATGTTCCATCTTCTAACCATGGGGTGCATGTGAGATGAGATATTAACACATGCATAAAAGATTAATTAGTTAAAAACCTTCCCGGCAAAAACATTGACCATAAAATTGTAATGTTGACTTTTTTTATAATGGAACTGGTTACGGTTCTCTGCACGATTGGATTTGAGGGTTTCTTGAAATGAAGAACTTCTTCTTGTATATAAAACTTGCTCACCAAGTTCTGTCCATATTTTAATTGGCTCACCCAAAAACAACAAAATATATATATATGTGAAACGAGCGTTCTGCGTACTTTCCAAGACCTTAACCTGCTACTGTAGGCATGTGACAGGCTAATGAGTAATATTCCCAATCTGGTGGCAAAAGTCTTTGTAGTTTGCTGATGTGATTATTATTATTTTTTAAAGTTGGGCTAAAAGCATTTTCAATTATGCTTCCTATTTTTTAGTTAAAATTTAGCGAAAAACACATAAAAATTATTTTATGAGCTGTCTATAAAATTTGAACTTTAATCATACTCTCTAGTTTAGGGAGACAAAGTGACATTTAATTATAAGGACCCACTAGGAATCCTCTCTCTTTCTTCTCAGAATTAGGAGCTCCTAGAGGTCTCCCTATTTTAGGAGGTATATAGATAGCAAAGTTGGAGTTGTATTTTTCCAATTCCTCACTAAGAAGGTGGTTTAGAGAGCCCATTATAAATGAATGCTCTAATATTATTATTAAACAATAAATTATTGGTGGGCTATTGAGTAAATTCGAAGCAAAATTAGTCCCAAGGTCTTGGAAAGTTTTCACCATTATTGTTGCAAGGAATATAACTTTGGCCAAAATTCACTTTTGGTCCCTATAGTTTGACACTATAACCACTTTTGACATTGTAGCTTCAATTTGTCACTTTTGACTCTGTAGTTTCATATTTGTAGCAATTTAAGGACATGTTAAAATTTACTTCAATATCTTGATCAGAGCAATCACGTGCCCCTCACATGGAGGGGCAATTTTGTCAGCCAAAGCCCCACGTGCCCCTGGGCGCGTGAAATTGACCATTTTGAAGTAGATTAGGATTAGGGCTCCTAAAAATTTAGTGAAATTCGTCTGGATTTTCAATTAAGTGCAACGAGTGGGTGCGAAAAGACTAGCATAACTTCGATCGGTTGTTGTTTCTTGAAGAAGACATGTGAAGTCAATGGAGGCTTCAATAATCCAAGTGAACTCAAAATCTCTAAAGGTACAATTTTCTGTGCGAAATTGTTTTATAACATTTATTCGACTTTTCAATGCATATAAGTGGGTTCCAACGCTTTTGTTCCATTCTTTTGTTCTGTAACTTTGGGTTCGGAAAGTTATTGCTTTGTTGTTTTGTTCTAAATTTGTAGGGAGAGAGAAATGAATGGAGGAGATAAAGATTGGTTAGGTGCTGGGAATTTAGGATAGTGAAGGAAGGAGGATTTTGAGATTTTGGTTGCCCATTTTCTGGCCCTAGGGAAGAGGTAGAGACCAGCTTTTAGCATGAGGTTTTGGTCTAACAAAATTGCCCCTTCACGTGAGTGGCATGTGGTTGCTTTGTTAAATAAATTGATAGTTGTCCTTGAATTGCTACAAATTTGAAATTACAAAATCAAAAGTGACGAAATTAAAACTATAAGGTCGAAAGTGATTGAAGTGTCAAACTACAGAGACCAAAAGTGATTTTTGGCCTAAAACTTTCCACAATAATTGAA